AATGTATAGTGTAAATATATACAGTATGTATAAATATCATAGTACCGTATTGTAAATAGTACATAGTATAGTGTGAAGGTCGTCCTAAAGCACAGGAAACAAGATGAAACCTGTAGGATTAAGGTGCGTTGTTTTCATGATAATATCTGGGTCAGCATGATGAACCTTGACTATCTTGTTGAGAAGTAAGAATACATAACAAGCAGGAGTAGCGAAATGCAACATGTCTGGAGGACCCCTTCATCAGTTGGGATAAACAAACAGTTGTCCTGTTTTCTTCTGTCACATTGTATCTGTGTTTGTCTTTTGAAGGTCATGGCTGCGTGAGAACGTTCCTGCCTACAGAGAGACAGCGCCCAAGTGTTTATCTCCATCTGCTGTACGTATTCATGTTGGTTTGACACACAGCTTCTGTAATGTCTTTCAAGCCTCATCTTAAGACACTCCAGTCCAGTCAAGCTATCATTCAGAGGGCCTAACATCAAACAAGACATGTACAGTATGACCAGGGAAGATCAAAAGAATCTATTAAGGTTAATAAAACAAATCTGTATTTTGAAACGGGCGTACAGCTGCAAGCGGCTTGCCAGAAAACGTTTACATAGAGGTTTAAGCAAATATGCCTCATCTCATCCTGACCACTGTGAGCAGTCAGTGTGAAAAGATTATGGGATACATACGTCTGAAGCATTATGCTAATGTCCCTGGGTTCAGCAGAGGCTCTGTGCACTAATACAGCAGTTCATATTTGAGGCCAGCTCTTGCTCTTTTGATCTCCCTTCCAGAATTTAACATTCGATGATTCAACTAATGATGAATGAACCAACTCTGTTTGGGAGGCCTGAGCATCAGCTTAATCCCAGTAGAGGAGCCGACAGCGGTACTGGTAGGCTTGTGTTCATGGGCTTTTTCTCAGGAGAGCAGAAACACCAGGGGAATGTTACCACCGAGAATGGGATGCCTTCCCATTTATAAACAAGAAAGTATTTTTAGGAGCGTTTCAGTGTGTTTGTTTGGATGTGATTAACTGTTGGTCAGCAGGAAGAAAAGGCTATGAACATTCCCACATAATAATTGTTTTTTTCCTAGGGTGTACTAGTCAGGGCCAGAGCATTGTACTACATATAATGAAGGTCATAGTGAGGATATGTACAGTACAGTCGGTAAGAAAGGGACATCGGATCTCAGTAGGTGTGTCCCAGATAGTTGTATTTCTCTCAGGGTTTAATCCTCCGTGTTTTGCGTAACCCAGAGACTAGCCAGTTCCCAGAGACAGGTTTTGTTTACATTAACGCTGAGGCGTCAAATGTTCATGTGAGCACAGAGAGGTGCGCCACCAGTTATGAGACAGATGACTCTCAGTATTGGGATGAATTCCAGGCTTCAGGGTTCAGCCTGTTGACAGGCGAGGACCGTGGCTTTATTTGCTTCCTGGCTGAGTGCAAACACACGGACGAGACTCCCAAAGGAGTGTCGTGTTTGACTCGCCACTCTGCTCTTCCTGTTTGACAGCATGTGTGATGACGGTGTTCCTTTCAATGCAGGTAAATACCAAGGGTATGATGGTGGTCAGAGGAAGTCAACCTGCCAAACTGGTTCTCCTCTCTCAGGTCAAATGAGATGACATTGCCAATGTGTGCTACCTGCTGTACAGCATCCATCCACTGAAACTCTCCTTTGTCTCCCCTTACAGTGTTGGAGTGTACTCCGCTGCCACCTTGTGTTCAAAAAGCTGTTTACATGACCAGAGGGACGTGGCGCAGTACAGGTGTCAAAGTAAATAAGGAGGTAAATTAAGTTTCTGAGAGTGTAACAGCATCATGGTAGAGTTATTAACATTCACTCAGCGTTTCAGGGATTCCCCTACAGCCATTAACAAACTGTCTTCTGTCAAAACATTGAACTCGTTGTTTTCAGCACAACACGTCTTATTTAGCACAAAACACAAGTAGGCTGCTCATTAAACCTTGGTAACTGCAGCAAACAGTTCTAATAAAATAGTACAGCTGAAACTCAATCTGCAGCACTTTTCATGAAATGCTTAATAATCGAGGTAATTCCAAAAGTGTATGCTCAGTCTTTATGATTGCAAATGGAATACTTTGTGTTTTTGAACTGTTGGTTGAACAGAACAAGTAATGTGAAGACATTAACTTGGGCTGTGGAAAAACGTGATGCTCATTTTTCACTATTGTCTGACAAACAAAATGTTTTACTTATTTACTTGTTTCCTGGCCTAGAAAGGCAACAACAAGCTACATAACACAAGATACAGTACACCCTTATTTTGGAATCAGGAATACAAATTGTGTTGTTCAAAATACTACAAAACAACCTCATTGGCATCTGTAAACAACCCAAGACCCGGTCTGATACCATAAAAATGCATAATACCAATCAAACAATAACTTTTTGAGGCTTCAATATTCTAAAATATCAAAAACAAGGCAGCTCAAAGAGAGAACCAGTTTTCTGCAGCACTGACTTTGATCGACACCACTTTGCCCTTTTGTATCTCATTGCAGGTCGGTTCCTCTGACGGATAATCAAGAAAAGTTTTCGCAGTGTAAGTACCTGCTAATAAGTTGTTTATTTGATCAGTTTAACAAGCTAATTGAGAGTTTTTCGTTGGATCAGTGTCAAGCTTTCACAACATGGAACCTCTGTAGTCCATGGAGTAACCACATCCATCACTTACTGATCTGTAAAACTCTAGAGGAGCTGCGTCGTCTCAGTCCTCTCTGTTGTTTTTATGTCTGTTGTCAGTGTTCGGTCTGATAAAGAAGTTGCATTTGCACTGAAACCCCATCAGACGCCCGGCTGTCAGACCTCATTAATCTGAAGCCTCTGTCTGTCAGCACAGTGGATAGTGTCTCTCTATTGCTTCCAGGCACTTACTTCATGAGATTCTTGATAGCGATTGCATCTGGCTGCAGTTTAGGGTAATTACATCCACTCTGGCTGAATGAGTAGCTTTGACCTAAATGATATTGGTGTGAATACTCTGACTGGATGCTCACTTTGTGCACCGTTTCCTCATAAATAATGAGTATTGCAGGATTTTCCAGTAGTTGTTTCAATCCATCAGTAGATGACTTCTAGATGTTTAAAAATATGTTTGTGGTTTCTCATGTCCGTCCATCTGAGCCTCGCCCCGGACCTTCGCAGGATGTGGCATATCGAGGGGAGGAGCTTAGATACATTAAACCTGCAGCGGAGGCTCAAAAGCCAGTTTCTGTCCAGTGGAAGGAGGATTTGTAGCAACATCCAAAAGCAGTTTACTCAGCGACAGTGTAGTTTCCTTTGCCGGTGCTTAGATTAGGCTGTTCCAGGAATAGCTGATAGAAGCAGCCAGCAGCTGAAGGGAGAGCACAATAGCTGTGATGCAGAGATTGGAGGTGGATCACATACCTGCATGTAGATGGTCTCTGAACTGCTGACCAGGCTGGAAGGAGTTAGTTTCACAGAGAGATGAGCTGAAATGATTGAACAACGAATGATATGATTTATTTTCAAAGCAGAAACAGCAGACGGTTTCTAGTTCCAGCTTCAGAAATGTGAAGATTTGCTTCTTGTCTTCATTTTCTAAAAAGCATCTTTTGATTTTAAACTGTTGGACATGACGAAGTAAATGGTCATTCTTAACACTCGAGAAATTATCAGCATTTTCTGATAATTTCAACTAAATTATTATTTAAATCAATCATCAGCAGATTCACATTTATTGAAAAAAAATGAAGTTGCAACCAATGTTCACTTCTTACTTAACGATGATTTAATGTCTGATTATTTTCTTGATTAGTTATTCGGTCTGTTAAATATCAGAAAATAATCAAGCCCTTATTGATGTTTCAGGCCAAAATCCAAAGATCTTTGATTTACAGAGATATCAGGAAGAGAAACGCAGCAAATCCTTTAAGAACCTTAAACAAGACCCTGATTAGAGCTTGTACATGACTGAACAATTCCAGAAAATATTCACATTTGAGAAGCTGGAACCATTGCTAAAAAAAAAGTAGTCTTGCAGCAGGGCGCCCTCTCCTGGTCCAGAGCCTGAACTACCGCACGCTGCAAGGAAAATTAGTGTTGGTCCTCGGAGCAGGAGACATTTACTTGGCAGGAGGAAAAATACAGGCAATTCACATTTCCCACCACTGACTGGTGGAGGCAACGTTTGATTGATGCATGACCTGGGCGCTTCGGCGCTTAACATCAATCAGAGAAGGGTGCATGAATGCTGTGGTTATTCAGTGTAATGGGAATGTCAATAACTCTCGCATCCTCTGATGAATACACAAGTACTGTCCCATGACTCATGAGTGAAGGCTGCTGATGCTTAAAGCACTGTTATTGAACCGAACACAAGCACTCACTTGTCCAAGTAGTTGTGGTGTGACGTGTGATGTTTCCGCGGTTTTAAACGTTACCAAGCAATTTTCTAGTAAGTCGGCACCTACTGGTGCCGCAGAGATGTGGGGAACGAGACATGCTTCATCATCTGGCTCTTCTATCAAGAGACAAAATCATTATTGTAACTCCATAATCAGTAGCACTCTTAAATACATACTTCCAATGTGAGAGTGGTACCCAAGGTAGTTTATCCTCCATGGGGGTCTAATGCAGAAAGTCATTAACTGTGGAAGCGGAGTGTCAAAGAAGAAAGATGGCCTGTTTACTCACCTCAGTAGGAATGAAAGCCCCATAGACAGGGTTAGTACACATTTTTTAATAACATGGCACAATTTACATAACACAAGTTTAAATGAGGAGCATGCTGAAGATTCAGTCGCTTAATTTTTTTCATTTTTTGTACATGATCTAGAAAGACTTCACTTTTTTTCCCTGTACATGGTTAACAGCCAAAAAAAAAATCTCATTTAACAATCTTTTTGCAATACGCATCGACTAACCACTATGGCTCCGGTGGACATTTTTATGTTGGATTAAAAAACACTGCACAACATGATATCACAGAGTTTGAAGCGCACAACTAAACCTTCAGTGGACTACTAAAATAGATCTCTGCTCATTAGAAACAAACTGTCCATAGTTTAGACTTGCTTTTTTGTCTTTTGATTTTGTAGGTACAACAACTCAGGAACGCACTTTAATACACTGTTTGACCAACAGAACCTATTTCCAAAACATGTACTTTACACTCCTTCAGTAGGGCGAATGTGCTGCCATGGTGGTAAATGTGCTGCATTCTCCCCAGAACAAGACTGGTCGTAACTGAGAGAAGGAAGAGAGTTGACATTTGTGCTGCTGTCTTTTTTACATTGAAAATCTTTAAAATGCAATTCCTCCTTCAACTGTTTTTTTTTGGATTGTCAGTACAATTGATTATATTTGAGAGAATACTTCTCAAGACATAACCTTTTTGTTTAATCCAAATTGCGACCGACAACATCTGCGTGGATCGGTTAAAGCGTGGACCCAGTGTGTGTGTGTGTGTGTGAGAGAGTTGTGGAGAGAATACAGCTGTTTGTCCGTTATTGTTACACAGTCAGTGGTGAGAAGGCCAGCTTTCAGAAAGGGAGCCGAGACATTTGTTGCATAGTTGAACATGGGGTCTCTGGTACAATGCTAATCAGCTGCGTCAACCGAAAAAACAAAAGGAAAATAGCAAAAAGCACATTCTGAATCACTGCTGTAATACTCCTCTATTTACATGTGTTCAAAGTAAAGCTTTCAAAACATCCTTTTGCATATTTGTACCATGATTTTGAATCCATACAGAGTGAGCACAGCGACTGTACACATTATCTACACACTTTGCTGTCTGTCAGTGATAAAGTACCTCTCACCCCGCGTCACTTCACCGTACAGGAGACAGAATGCACACAAAAAGCTGGAGCAAACCGGAAGAAACATCTTTGAAAAATCTTTTTTTTGTTCCATGATTATTGTCTCTTTGTAGTTTTATACAAAAACAACTCATTGTGAGGGCATTTCTCTGGCTCCCATAAGTTATTCACAGCTATCTTACAGTCTTGCTTTGCCCAAAGCTAAGTGCTTGGTGTGAGTTCAGTGTTGGTGAGGCACAGAGCTGCAGGGTCCGTCTGCCGAGGCTCAGCTCACCGTGCCTCGATGTCTTTGTGAGCCGGTCTGTCTCTGATATCTGTGGCCAGGGGAGTAGTCCGTCTGGGTGAGCCGGGCCGGGCACCCAGCGTGGGGATGAGAGGGGGCGGGGCACTCAGAGAGGCGGTGGGCGGGGTTTTGTTCAGGATACCGTTCTGATGGGCGGTGGCTGCAGCTACAGCAGCTGCCGCTGCAGCCGAGGGGCTCACCCTGGAGTAGTGCATGCCTGGGAGTCCAGGGGCCATGAGGCCCTGGGCCGGGTGTGACAGGTGTCCATCAAGGGCAGGATGGTGCATTACGGGGTGGAGGCGCCCGTGCTCATAGTCCTCTCTGAGCATGTTGAGGCGCTCTCGCTCCTCCAGATGGGCACGCTCATGCTCCCTCCTCTGCTCCAGGGCCAGAGGGTGGATGTGGTCACGATTAAAGTCATGAGGCTCACGGTCCCTGTAGGAGCGCTCAGCCTCGTAGAGGCGCGGCACTGCCAGCCGGTGCAGAGGGTCATTCCTTAGCAACAGTTCCCTGGCCAAAGGGTCCCGTCTGTGAATGTCCAGGCCCCTGTAAGGGTCTCTCATTGGGTCCCAGTGGAAGGCAGGGTAAGGGAACCTGTCAGCTCCTGGGATGGGGCTGATACCCATGAAGGGCGCCACCATTCGAGTTCTCTCCAGCCCGCTGATGCTGTTGATGGGGTGAACGCCAGCCATGCTCATGGGCATAGGCATCGAGGAGGGAGGGTGGAGGTTCGGCGTGGAGGGTGCCTGTGTTGGGTGCTCACTTGCCCTCTCTGTGGCTCCATCCTGCTCTTCCTTCCGCTCCTCCTTCCGCTCCTCCTTCACTTTCACCTCGCTGTTCTTCTTCTGGTGCTCGTATGGCAGCTCTACCTTTTTCTCCAGGACCTCCCTGCTCAGCCCGCCGTTGGGACGTTCGAGGCTGGTCTGCCGGACGTAGGGCGACGGTGTCCCCCTGTTGGACATTTTGTCCTCTGACACTCGGCCGTCGTGGATGACAGGTGTGTCCTTGTCGCTGTGCTGGTTGTCTTTGAGCTTATGGTCATCTGTGCCGTTGTCTTTCCAGGAGTCTGAGTGCTCCCTCTCCCTGTCTTTGGCCTTCTCCTTGTCCCTCTGAGGCTCTCCAGAAGCAGGGGGCAGGTGGTTCCTGTGGTGCTCAGGAGGCCGGGTGTGGCCCAGGAGGCTGATGGGGTTGACGGGGACTGGAGACGGATGGCTCGAATGGCGTTTTTCTACAGAGTCCCTATAAGCATAAAGAAAGTCCCTCCATCAGTATCAGTAACCATAGACTAACTGATTATTCCATTTTTTTCATAATTGAAATAATAAGCTAAGACATCCAGTATACAAAGACAAATAAAAAGATAACATAACTGATCAAACAAAATCCAAATATGTACCTATACTCCTTTTTATCTATGTATGTTTTTGGGGTGAGGTGACAGGACTTGAGCGAGAGGAGTCACGTTTGGGATCACCCACCTGTCTTTGTCGTCTTTACTGACCAACGAGTCCCGTTTGTCAGAGTCTCGGTCCCTCTCATGCGAGCTGGCTGAGGCGCTCCTCTCAGAGTCTCCGGGTTTCAGCCAGGGTGGCGGTGTGGGGAAGGAGGGCGGCGTACGGTGCAGGCGGTTCCACGGCTCCTGGTGGCCGCTGTTGAAGTGCTGATGTGCGTTGGGGCCATCTTTATGGCCGAACACTGTGTTGGCCGCAGTTAGCGATTCAACACGTGGAAAAAACACAGCAGGACGCAAGTTAAACGCGTATCTCGACAATTTGCACAGATGAATATCAATATTTAAATTATACTCTGCTGATGCTCTTATGTAGCATGAGCAACACTATCTCTAAAACCTGAATTACTAGATTGGAAACATTACAACAGCAACCATGAAAGGCGTATTCCAGCCATACTGATGTTGGGCAGTAACAGAGAGTGGCCGCATGGTAACCAACAGCATCATTCATGAGGTTTAAACTCACTTAGTGCTGGATTGCCCAGTCCCCCGAAGGCCGATGAACTGAGGGTTCCCAGTCCGCCAAACGACACAGGCCTACCAAAAGGTTCTGGAGGGAGACACCACACGTTACCATGAATCCAATCACATCATTTACCTATTTCAGATTGAGACTGAGAAGAACTGAATTTAAAGGTACCTAAGTGAGGTGCTGGAGCGAGGAAGTTTCCAGGATGGTGGGGCGGATGACCGAAAGGACCTGCTGATGGGTGTGTGGGACCTGAAGTGGGAGAGAGGCATCACAGAAACGTCAACCGCTGACTGAGTGAGGATTGTTTGTTAAACTACTGTTTTATACGTACACTTATTTACCTTTTTTAAATCAACTAGAGCCTGACAAAAATGTTTAGAAATGAGGCAGTTTAAATATGTTGTCGCCATAACATAGTTTGTCCACTAGAGAGCACTAACAAGGTAGTTTGTCCAGCTCAGTACATTCTTTCAACATAAAAGAAAACCCATTGAATCTAAATCTAAATGACTGTTTGGGCTATGTAAAGAAAAAGAAGGGAATATCTGTCAATATGTTGTTAGTAGTTATCAGAGTTTTTAGCCATGCTAGCAGTGTGGTCAGAACCGGCCCTGACTAATGTGGTGCAACTCGCATTTCAGCCAGTTCCACCACAAGTTAAGTTTAGCAGGTCACACAGGAAAGAAAAACTGTATTCCTCAAGATGAGGAATAAATAAGTCTTTCAAACGTTCCCTATTGAATTTAAGGTGGGAGTCACTGTTGTTAACTGGAATGATGCTGCGGGCAACCGAGGAAATAGGACCTATTCAATAGGCTACAAAGTTATGTTGTTGTGTCCTTTTTTTAGTAATATTTCAAAATAATAGTATTAAAATAGTATGAGTAATCATTTCTAAATTCAGTGTTTGTCAGACGACCCCCAAACACTGAATTCAAGCCACAGTACACTGTGAAGACAGTGAAGCATGGTGACGCAAGCATCATGATATGGGGATGTTTCTCATACTATGGTGTCGGGCCTATTTATCGCACCAGGGATCAGTTTGAATACATCAAAATACTTGAAGAGGTCCATGTTGCATTATGCCGAAGAGGAAATGCCATTGAAATGGGTGTTTCAACAAGATTAACGTTACGGAGGCCAGCCCAATCCCCGGACCTTAATCCAATAGAAAACTTGTGGGGTGACATAAAAAAATGCTGTTTCTGAGGCAAAACCAAGAAATCAGCCGAATATTCATTTTTCAAATTTGTCTTCATGTTTGATTTGGAGGATTTTGGTCTTTACTCATGTTTTTAAACACATAGCTATTATTTTGGACACAACTGTAAGTGTTATTATGTCGATGTCTAATTAGTATTCAGTTAATTAAAAGATAGAGGCACACACAGCTGAACTCTGTTACAATAATATAAGCAACGGACTGACTTGACCGACTGCTGCTGTGTGTCAGTAGGTACCGTTGTTACCATCAATCAATCGTCCCACCCAGACACCTGACACACACTCACCCGCAGCGGAGAAGAGCGTGGCGGGCCGTGCCAAGTCGTTGGGGTGATGGATGGCCCCGAAGAGGCTGGGGCCCGGAGGTCGACTCAGGAAGTCAGGCTTGAGGCCAAAGTCTAGCTTGTGAGGGTCGACCTGCATCTGCTGCTAGAAGAAGGCAGATGGACAGAGAGGAACACATGTAAAACCCCTTTATACAATAATGAAACAATTGATTCTAAAGTCATTCTAAAGATTCTAAACTATAAGTCAACAACTAGATCGTTGTCTTAACCAAGGACACTTTGTGAGGTGGTTGCAGGTAAGGATGGGACGATATGAACATGTCATGTCACGATTATCCCGGCCAAAATAAATGCGATCAATAAACATTTAAAACATACTGAAATCAATATATATTGTTGTGGAATATTTCTTATGACTAGTCGGGAGAAGAAAGTGAAGGTTTTCTATCAATATAAAGTAAACAGAGTTTTGATGAACGATCAAGGTTTGTAAAGTCAATATACTAAACTAATTAAAGTCATCTACTGAAACTACAGTTTGGTGTCTGCTCTTTTAGGATTTACATTCTTTAAACCTTCACATGAGACTATGATATATTTTCCCATTACAATATATATATTTTTTTACTTTTTAATCTTTATCTTTTTTTAATGAAAAACAAACCATCATGAATCACTGGACACAGCTAACGTCACACTGTGTCAGCACAAAGCAGAGGAATCAGGTGAGTCCTCACCTTCACTTTCTGTTGGTGGTGGTATATCTGCCAGGCGATATGGACATGCATGGCGCACCACTTCCCTGGTTTCTGTAGGTACAAGACAACAACTCTTTAACCAGCAGAACAATGAGGATATTACTGCTATTAATTTACAAAGTAAACGCTTGTAAATTGTGAAGTGTGTCCAATTTTTATATATATTCCGTTCTTGACATCAGCCAATGTCTGTTGCTCAAGGTAATTAGACCCACATTTAATGGATATAGTGCTACATTGTCAATTAGCATTTATCCTCACACGTCATACAACCATCTTGAATGGTCCAATGACATGAACACAGCATACCCTTCTGACAGTCAAGTGACCTGAAGATGACCTACTGATAGCTTAATATGGTACCTTTAATCACATATAGCTTAAAGATAAGATATGATGGTGATGGGCCATGTGACAGAGGGATATTAATTATAGCTGTGATTTGAATGCATGTCTATGTCCACGCAAAGTCTATCAATAGCCTTTTCACATAGAGTCTGCACTGTTTTCCAAAATGAGCTTTGTTGTGGTATAAACTAAAACACTCTGCCTCTATGTGAAGTGCTCATTTAATTAAAAACACTATCTTGCCATTAGCAAAAACCCTTTAAGGCATTTGGCTGTCGTGTGTGTGTGTGTGTGTGTGTGTGTGTGTGTGTGTGTGTGTGTGTG